ACAGCTGGACGGGGATGGCCGGACCCGGACGAGACTTTCTTCCTTTCGCCATGTTGATCGCGCCGCGCAAGCATGTGGTCACGTGGTTGCGAGCGAGTAAGTTCTAGTTGCTCACTGATGGCTACAAAGAGCTTCACCGGAACCCCGTGCGTCCCCCTTTCACACGTCACAGCGCACGTGACTCGGACGATGGTGAAGGAGTTGAGAGATGCCGAAAACCTCAATCTTTGTCAATTTTTAAAATAAAAACCTAGAACATGCAGGCAAAAGCGGTTTTTTGTTCTTCAGAAAGGTCGAGACACCAACTCCCAACTGATTTCAGCAAAGTACTGAAATTGTTGCACAGCTCTTTAAGACCGAGTGCCTTGGAAGTTGGAACCTCTTAAAGGGACCCTGGAAGGACTTTTCTACTGGTTTTTAATTTGCACCGAACCTGAGCGCACTGAACGTAGTGACTTAATTAAACTTTTCTTTTCTCGAATTTCGCTTTATTTTAAACGTATAGGCAAATTAAAATTACAAAAACGAGCAAAAAATAACCTCCTTCATGACGTCCTTGGTTGCTTGAGTGACCGTGAACTAGAGGAGGGGTAGTGAGCTCAGCGAGCGGTCACGGCTGCCGCACTTCGTGTCGACGCCTCGAGAGGGCGCCACTAAAGCATGTTCTGGCTAGGCTGTATGAAGCGGGCAGCCAGGGCGGCTTGCATTGCATTTGCTGCGCAATTAGACACCTATTCGGCATGACACTTCATTGGCCACAAATGACAGCAAACACAGGGTAAAGATTAGGGGTGTCGCGAACCGGCCGCGGTTCGAGTTCGACCAGGTTCGACTTTTTCGAACTTTTAGTGGAAAGTTCGACGAACCTTCTATTGAGGTTCGACTCGTGTGCGCATGCGTGGCAGACAGGCCAGTTGGCTTCGGATTGGATGATAATGGCTAAGAGATAAATTAAGTGCAGCGCTCATTGGGTATTTCAGTTAATACAGTACTAGAAATTAAGTTATTAACTTCTTCATTGATTAGAAGTAGTTTCTTTTAATTGCAGCTGTTCACAGTATAAAATAACCCTTTGCATAAAAATTTTTTTTTCCAAACCTAGACATGCTTGTATCAAGCTCTGGCCACACTGTCCACAAAAATCGAACCGGTCGAATCTGGTGAAAAGTTCGAAGGTTCGTCGAACCGGTTCGACCCAGTCGAACCACGAAAGTTCGACCAAAATATCTGGTTCGACAAAAGTTCGCGACACCCCTAGTAAAGATCAGTTCAGAACGGGAGCCACTTCGCGCTGCCATACCGCCAAAAAGCCAAAATGCAAGCCAAAGCTGCTCGCCGAAGTGCCTTGGGAATGCTCGGAACCGGTCGGATCCTCCAGTCCATACGACCGCAGCGCCGCCGCGTACATCCGGGAGTTTTCTGCGCTCACCGCTCGTTGGTGCCTGATCCCACTACACCTTTCTAGTATGCGCCATCTTTTCCACCGCTTGGTGGCGGGTATGTCGACATGTCATTTCTTGTTTCCGTACTTTATAAACTGCATTTGTTTCTTTTCTGATCTAAAATACTGAACACAAACTACTTTTATAAATAATTAAAACTGCTCGCGCCACTTATATTTTGTATTTCGACTAAAAAGAAGCTTTTAGCGGATCTGACCAGTAGAAAGGCCAGGACCTAAAACGTCACGATGTCGTCACATATCGCGCGCTTTCGGCACCGCGGGTCGCCCCCGTAGGTGGAGGAGGTTTTCGCGTCGTCCGGTTAAAATATGACGCAATGATATTTAGTTACTCTCTCCGTGCCCGCTGGCTTGCCCGAACTCCAAGAGACGTGGAAACCGCAAAAAAGGTAGACGCTTAACTATGATTGCAGGGCCCGACGAGAGGACACACTGGCGCCATCTATTCGCGACTCCAGCAAAACGGACGCCGCCAAGCGGGAAAACCGGGAACCAGCCGGACCAGGTCGCTCCGCGCCCCTCCGCGTCTCTGGTGGCTTTTGCGGACACGTGTTGTCGGCGCGGTGGCAAACAACGTGATTTGACAAAGGTCCGAATATTTTTTTTAAGTTTGCCTGAGTGTTCATTAGTGTGGGGAAGCCTCAGTAGATAGTTTCCTTCCATCACGCGTTTTAAAGCCCGTTTACTCCACAACACACAGTCGCATGCTTTCGATTTCTTGAATGGGGAGGAAACACGGAAAAAGGTTTTGATTTCTTGGCTGTCTCGAATCACATTCAAAGTGATGACTGCTTAGTAACTGATAAGTGTTTTTTTTTTTTTTTTTTTTTTTTTTATAAGGATGTAGAACAGTGGACCGAGGACGCCAGACGAGGCATTTCACTGGGGGGAACACCAATGTTGAAGTCAAGTGAATGGGAAGGTTTGATAGCTGCTTTTCTTGAGTTTGGTTGCGTTCGGTTAGCTTCAAGTTTGAGCCACCCACGCCGGTCGGTGCGTTGGCTATTCATCTTGGCTGCTTTTCGCCGAAAAAGCCTCTGGACCACACTGAAAAAGTTGGGCGGATTTCGCAATTGATTCAGAAAAACCTGCTCGCTGCGAATGATGAATGAGGGAAATTATCTGTTTTCAAAAGGTGGGGGACGAGTCTAGGAACGGTAGAAGCTGTCACGGCATTTTGATCTATCGCGCCTCCAATATTTATATTATACCACTGTCGCAGCCAGCAGCAATATACGTCTACATTGCTCAGGTTGACCGGCAACAAAAAAATACTCATCTTCTCCGTTCAGGATTCGAAGCAAAGTTGAATACAGAGAGGTTCTGCGTGAATCTCTGATGAAGACTCTTCGTCTCCGTGCTGCTGGCTAGAACCATTTGGCTAAGTTTAAGTAGTATCTTTCTCTCTGCCAAATATACTTTTATTCAGCAGTTCACCTAATAGCTAGTCAACTAAGCTTGTATTTCAACCCGAAGAATATAATAATATGGCTTTAGTGGGACATAGTACGTAAATAATACATAACCCCCTCGTCAAAATGACTTCTCCATTGCTACTAAAACCTCAATTGAAACACAAGTATCAGCTGCTTAGTGAGGCGCCCGCAGGTTAACATGCTCCTTGGCTCAAGAAGTGCTTGCTAAATTTTCGTGATTTTCCTGCAGCCTGTGTTGTTGACCTAGAAGACGACTGGAAAACGCGGATACGCACAAAAGCTCGATTTCGCGGGCGGATAAGTCGCATGGTTGAGGCATGTGAGTTAGCTGAAAATTACTCTCGGTGGAACAATTCTGTAGTCATCGCCGCTTTCCTTAGATGATCAAAACTGATTAGTTTTGAACGAAATCTCAGAAACGAAAGTTTGACATGAAAAGAACAAAAAACACCGGGAAAACAAAACTATGCTTTGCAAGTTTATGTGCACCGGCTACACTTAGCAGTCTCAGTTCAAATACCTGTAAAATTGGGCATTAATCAAAAGACAATCTGTTCAATTGAATGCGCCAGCTGTTCAGGCGGCTCGGCCGAGCCGACGCGACCTGGACTCAGCCGCCATGTTTGTTTGGTGGTGGCGCCCCCTATAGGTCGCTGGAGTCGCGAATAGGGTAGCAGTGGAAAATGGGCGGTATATTTTCTATTTGTCTCAAGCGTCATCCTTTCTTTCTTTTTTCGCTCGAAAAACTGTTGCCAATGTTATAAAAGACCATTGCTCATATGTATTACGCATATTTAGCCTAGGAAATCCCGCGAAACCATTGCTCTAGTGCAGTGGTTCTCAAATGGGGGTCCGCGGACCCTTTGAGGTCCGCGAGGGTATTCTAGGGTTCCGCGAAGCCCTGCCTCGTCAGTCTCCCGGCAATAAAAGTTGTCTTTGTTTCAGATTGAAAATAAACATTCTGATTTTCGGGTGAGTTTTTTCGTGTGTATGTCAATGAGCAAAGTAAAGCTCCCTTGCGCCCTTACGTCCTGCTCAGCAAAGTCTCCTTCACACAAGCCCTTCGTTATATCCATTTATTAGATCATTAGCATAATTAACCTGTACCTTTTCCTACCCCTCACCACGAACGGGGTCCTCCATCATCTCCGCCGATCCACAAGGGGTCCGCGAAACATCAATGGTTGAGAACCCCTGCTCTAGTGAAATGCAGTTCCAGGGTCACTGCATAGATGGCGCCAGCGTGCCAGTGTGTGTGTTCTCTCGTCCTAAGGATTGTTAAGAGGTTTCAAGGCACACCGTTCTAAGAAGTCTCAAGTGTGTGAACGGGCCCTTCCGTTGCTCAAACTTCCGTGCTGAATTCGTCCGATTATATTACTTTTTTTTATAATTATTGAAAATAAATGTTGTAAATGTTTTCTGGCTTTTCCCTCTGGGTATTTAGGTCGATGATTTGATTAATTTTCGGGTAATTACATTACAGGAAGTAATGGGATGGCCATGGGAGGCGCGTGGTTGGCTCTGACAGCTCGCAATGGGTCGCAGGAGCCGTAGCTTTTGTCGTCTGCGAAGGTAAACGTAATGTGGACCCTTTGTCGGAGGGACTTTGAATTTCTTAACTCTCAACAGACTAGAACACATTAATTATTACGTCGTTTCCTAAAGTTGCGCAACCCGGAGATCAAGCATGCTGCTCGGCTAAAAAGGAAGACAAAATGAAGCGTTTTTTTCTTACGTAGAGTTGGCCAACTCAAAATCCCTAAAATATTATCATAATTAGTTACACGAAATACCTGTTTTCAGTAAACCCTCTAAAAAAAAAAAAAACGGTGCACGCGTACCTTACGTATTTGAGCATGCGGTAGGCGGGACGGACGGGTTGGGTCCGGCGGGAACGAGTAGCGCAGCCGACGCTTCGACGGAACCGATGGAGTCAGCGTCAACATCGTCACGGCGGTCTCTGTGCCTATCACGGGCTGAACCAATCACGCAGAGGAAAAAAAAGCGCATTCACTGTGCGTGATTTCTTTAGCCGGGGACAGCCCAAGGGCGGCTGTGCACCGTTGCTCGATCGGCTCCGTCAGCTGGGGTCGTGCACTCACTCGGCGGTGGCGCGGGTCCACGAAGAAGGTGGCCTGGGAAGTGCCGCTGCCCTTGGGGACGGCCGGAGCGTGGAAGAAGTCCAAGACGCCCCGGTCCCCCTGGACCATGCGGCCGGTGAGGCGGCCCACGCGGCCAGACTCCGCGAATTGGCGCACGCCCTCCGTCGCCATGTGACCCAACTGCCAGAGGCGCACGCTGCTGTTGTGGCTCAGCCCTGCAGGACGGAGCGGCAAGCTCGAGAGTTTTTGTTTTCCAAGAGCCTCTTCAAACCAACAACTGCAACGCAAGATCGGTCCTCGGTGTCTTCGGGGAATTTCAAGGTGCCCTCGGGGAATTTCCGAGCAACATGCAGTTACTTGGAAATTATCTAATCTATAGAATTTTCGTCACTAAACCCGTGCAGTACAGCCAAAGCCCAGCCTCTCTCTCTCGTTCCTCCCTTCCCTCCTCTTGAACAGGTTGGGACACGCTTTCTCCCCTGTGGCTTTGGCTGTACTGCACGTGTGCACGGTTTTAGTCCGACGGAATATAAGTGGTGTTTTACCATAAGAGACCCACTGCCAACTGGCACGGCAGCCTTCTGTGTGGGCGAAGCCTCTCCTGCTGATCTTATGCTGCATTGCATTATAGGGGGTATTCACGGGACACCATGTTGTGAGACGTTGATCGCCGCGCGTGCTCAAAATTAGTTCCCATTTATGATCTTTCAAGAACAACAATTTTGATTGTGTGGAATGTACGTTGAACGTGCATCCCGGTGCATTTCTCGCAGGCCGTGATGCAAAGCTATAGCTACCCTTGCGATGCGTTTTGAACATTGTCCAACAAAATGGCGTTCCCTGAATATCCCCTATAAGCACGAAGAGACTTCGCATGTTGCACGTGAAAATCGATGCCACGAGTTTGTACTTTTCCAAAACGACCTATTTTATTTTATTACCGATATTTTTCCTTTATCATCCGACATACTGAAGTTATAACTAGGGTTCCGTGTTGTCTGATAAATCCGAAAAACTCTGAAAAACACCCGTCGGTAAAATTTTGGTCTCCGATAAACTCCGAATGTTTATGTGTTCCCCCACCCCCCGCAAAAAAAAAAATTTTTTTTTTTTTTTTTTTTTTTTACAATTTGATTAGCACAGACTCCACGTTCCTGGGAAAATGTCACATAATTATCTTTCAAATCTCGGACCGTTGTCAAAAGGACTCTTGCCGCTTGTCTCTTCAAGGTTGATTCAGGGCAACAGGTCATTGTACATTCGGGTCACGACAAAAGCGACTCTTTTGGTTTCCAGTTTGAGCCATGCGATTTGTGATTTAGAGAAAGGAAAGGGTATGTTTTAGTAACAGTGAAAGCTATGGCCCATAGGGATTGTACAAAATAGGTAAGAGGGGCAGTTGAAACTTCTCTATTACATCCTTAACCACTTCACCTCGCGCGGCCGCGGGCTAGAATTTCGCTGTGTTTCCTATTAAAAGTAAATAAATAATTAATAACCGAATGTAAACGTATGCCAGATAAAAAAAAATAAAACGCGCTTGTATCAATTGAAATATCTTCAGTTGAATTTGGCGTTAGTGCCATTGTCATTGGAAATACTAATTTATCCACGACAAAAGTAACACACAAGTGGCGCTTCGATAAACGCCGATACCTTAAAATCAATAAAGTCCCGGAGGTAGTCGCTAGGAAGCTCGTAGTCATCCCATCCTATTCCACCAATCTAGCCCGTGGTCGCGCGAGGTGGAGTGGTTAAAGAGGTAATAGAGAGTTTGAACTGCCCCTCTTCCCAATTTTATACAATCCCTATGGGCCATAGCTTTCACTGTTACTAAAACATACCCTTTCCTTTCTCTAAATCACAAATCGCATGGCCCAAACTGGAAACCAGAAGAGTGGCTTTTGTCGTGACCCGAATGTACAATGACCTGCCGCCCTGAATCAACCGTGACGAGACAAGCGGCAAGACTCCTTTTGACAACGGTCCGACATTTGAAAGATAACTATGGTAAAATTTTCCCAGGACCATTAACTCTGTGCTAATCAAACTGTACAAACAAAAAAAAAAAAAATTTTTTTTTTTTTTTTTTTTGGGGGGGGGGGGGGGGGGGGGGGGGTTCTTGCATAAATACGAATTGACCAAAATTTTACCGGCGGGTGTTTTTCGGAGTTTTTCGGAACACGGAGCTCTAGATAACTTACACCAGTCGTCTCTGGGGGAACGCAACTTCGGGACCATTTTGACTGAATGGTATCATTAATCGTTTACTCGGCAATCTGATGCCTTTATCCGCACAGGGAACGACACAGAACAAACACGTAATTGTTTTTGTTTTTTCTTAGTGCTTAAGCGCTCGACACTGTACCACGTGTTTCAGCGAAAACTTCAAAAATCGCTAAAACTAGGGTTGTTGAGAAAACAAGAAGCTCTTTCCGGGAACAAACTGCCAGCCGCGGCGGACGTAAGGGATTGTAAATGATAAAATTAGTGAAATGAACATATAAGGCAAATACAATATTTTACGGCGAAAAAGGAAACCGCTCAATTTAGACGCGTTTTGGTTTCTTATCGGAGCGCATCTTTGCGCCAGCGGTCCTGGGGCTCTAATCGGGACACCTGGCAAGAAAGTCGGCGAGGAATTCAACCGCTGTGATTGGACGGCGCCAAGGTCAAGCGCGGCGCCGGCCAATCACAGCCGCCGGATTCATCGGCGACTTTTTCGCCAAGTGTCCCGATTGGAGCCCCTGCGCCCCGGTGGCTGAGACGCGAAGCCGCCTGCCTCGTAGGACGGAGGAAAGTACGGCGCACGTGCGTTGCGAGCCTCGGTCGCATGGGGGCAGGACCGCTGGCGAAAAGATGCACTCCGACAGAAAACCGAAACCAAAAACGCGTCCAAATTGAGAGTTTAATCCGAACGCCATAAGATGCTGCACCCGCCTTATATCTGTCTAAAATGAGTTGATATAGTGGTTATCGGTGATGCTCAGCAGGTTTATAATTGGAACCATATATTTTTCTGCAATTATGAATAAGTTGACTAGTTCATTTTAGCTAATTATTTAGCTAATTTGTGTTTTTTTTTATTTTTGTATTCCTTGACGCTCGGCGTGGCTGGCAGTTTGTTCCCGGAAAGAGTTTTGCTTTTTCTCAACCACCCTAATTTAAGGGATTTTCGAAAGCCTTCGCTGAAACACCCTTTCTAAAAGAAACAGCGCGGATGCCTTGTTCGCGCTGTGTTGCGTAGTGTACTACGTATAAATGGCTTGTACGTGCCGCCATGACCCTTTGCTGGTGGTCAGACTGGGTCATTCATATTTGTTCTTGCCGAGAAAAACAAATTCGGCGATGCAGAATGCATGCTGCATAGGGTATACGCTCAGCAGCAAGGCCACCACGATGGCCGATGAGGTGACGTTAGTGCTTCTGCTTTACTGCGTATACACCTCTCGAGGTCTTAATACTTCCTTTTTCTCCGTAAGCACCGACAAATCCAAAAAGATGAACCCCCGGTCGGTTTGATCAAAATTGGGGAAAAAAGAACAGAGCTGGCTTTCGAATAAGAAAAGGCCACGCTTCACGGAAGTAAACATTCTATCTTTTGCTTTGTGTTCGAACGGTTAGAACGCAGCCCTCAGTGAACACGCTGGGCCCCAGCGATCGCTCTGCTCAAGTGGAAAGAGTGGAGGGATAGGCAGTAAGAACTTGTCCTGCTTTTCCTAACCTGCAACAAAACCTAATAAGCAACAGCTCATTTCGCGAGCTTCTCGAGCAAAGCGTGCAAATCAAACTCTCGAGGTGTGCAGCACGACAAGCGAACAGTGTGAACAAAAGCAAATCGGACGCCAGACAGAGTGATGCGACATTGCCTAAAACTCGGTTTGTGCTGCCTTTGCTTTTGATTCCGAATCAAGTGGAAAAGTCCCATTCACAGATCGGTATTGCTGCTCGGTGATGCTGTTTCCCATGTGTGCCGGGCTTCTCTAGAGTGCGGAACCGCCACGCGTAATTCATCGCGCGTGGACGTGACCTTGTCTCCGCCAGCCTCGGGTTCCGACTTCTGCTGTCATCACTGCGGACATCCAAGGCCGACGCTGACTGCTCGTCTGGGAGCAGCTGCGTTGGCCGACTCACCAACCAGCTGGGACCACTGTGCAGGCGGCCGCCAGTGCGGGTACTGCTTGGGAAACCTGCCAGGCGTCCAGGCGGTGACCAGAGTGGCCTGGTACACGGCGAGGTGGCGACAGGCCTCCGACGTCGCCGCCAACCACGCCACAGCGGCCAGCACCGTGATCCTCCCGGACATGTTTCTGGCAGCCTCGGTCCGGCCGTGCGTATTTAACGGGCCTCTCGCCCCCGCAACCCCTCGCCCCAGAGGGAAAGCCAAGAGGGCTGGCATGGGAGGAGAAGGACCCTGGGCTTCCCCCGTTGGTGGGGCGCGGCTGCCGGAGCCGAAACCTGCTCCCGATCATTCACCGTGCTTGATGATCGACCATGAACAGTCGGTTCGCGCCACGGTCCGGACTCTGGGCGCTGATTCGAGAACAGCCGCCTCGTGCTTGCTGTCTCGTCGTTTTAGTCGTGCGGGTGCTTTCAGAGGAGACCGGCTGAAGTCGTCTCGCACGTTGGTCCCCGTACATCAGCGACAGAGTCTATACCCGTATGTCCCTGCCGCTAGTTCGTTAGCGTATAACCCCACATTTCACAATCTGTGCCTATGTCCCCCATCGCACATCCTATCCGAATGTTAGTTTTGAGCAGCTTTAGATATTGTACACGTGAAAAAAAAAAAAAAAAAAACAATTGAGCTAAATTTCAAGGGACATCCTAAACTTCATATTTCTATCAAAAAAGAGAAAAAGTTAGGCTAAATGCACTTTAAATTTTAGCGAAGTACGCCATACACGATGTACTTTCGAAATAAGGTAGAAGTACGTGTTCAACAAAATATTTATCGCGAGAAATCGACATAGCGGCAATTTCCCCTTTTGAGACGCACATGACCCCTTTTACTGCACGATTTGAAATGAAATCACCATACCTATGGCGATTTCATGTCAAATCGTGCAGGAAAAAGGGGTCATGTACGTCTCATATATATATATATATATGCTGGGAAAATGTTTCACTAAGACGAAACTGAAAACTCATTTTGCGTCACATTTTTAGCTCTCAAGTTTTGCGTCACAGGTCGCGTACGTATTTGGTAGCTTCACCTGGCTCAGACGTTCCCCACAACATAGCAACATTTTACATGGTTTTGCAAATGATACATTAAAAGCGTCAAATAATAATAAAAATGCATTTTGGGTTTTATTTATTTTTGTAAGAAATACAAAACACGGCTCCTTTGACGAAACTCTAACTGGTTTTGATAACTTTTGATCCATTCAATGTTATGGAATAAACTATATATCAAATTAAAGCTTAAACAAATACCAGTTGAACAAGCAGAATGTCGTTATAGTCAAATAAAGGTATTTTAGCAAAAAACGCTCTTGAATACGAGAGGAAACTAAAACCACTGTTGTTGTTGTTGTTGTTGTTTTTTTTTTTTTTCCTGTATGACGCTCTCGGGATGGTCTAAAACATCAAATAAAAATCAGATGTAATATATGGTTTGGACATACAAATCCGTACATAAAAGAACGATATATTCCAAGTTCTATTTCAATGTGCGAAGCTTGGTTATCGTCATTTGTATGCCTATTAATTAATTCATTAATTATTTTTACCTTGTCAAAGTATTTGTTGGCTTCGATTTAACACACAATTAAAGAAAGTACGGCTGATGCGTAGACTGGACGTTAATGTTTAATTTATGAGGGTTTTCCTACACATGTCTAATTTATTAGAAAAATAAGAGAAATCGCAATTAAAAGGATTCTTAAATTGTCTAATGAGAATTATAAGCTTATAGGTACTTTTCTCCAAAAGTGGTACGCGGAATGATAGAGTGCTCGGGGGAAACAAAATATTTTTTGATACGTGGCCAACAGCCCTAGCACGAAATTTCAGCTTTTTCCAGCTGTCGCTTCTTCGCGCACTCTAAGCCTTTTGAGAAGGTAGGCTCGTTTAAACTTACTAATATTCATAGGCGTAGACTACGAAGGGGCATCGGGGCTCGTGCCCCCCCTCGGCCATGATTCTTACCGAGACGCTGTTTACGTGCCATGTAACGAGCTTCGAGTAGTGGCATGTAAACAAAATAAAGCACACAGCGACGGACACATGGGGATATACATACGCTGTAAAATGTACCCCCTAAAATAAACTACTGATAATCGTCGATGTAATAAAAAATTGCGCGGAAAAGCACCCCCCCCCCCCCCCCCCGGGAAAATGGAAAATCTACGCCGCTGCTGATATTCGTTTCTCCTTTTCAAGAAAAAGACAACTTGCATACATCGTGGGGAGGTGCATATTATAATCAAGTTCACGAGGACGCTTATCGTGACCAACAAGCACCGTTTAGAGGATATATCACAGTAGAAGAGCCCATAAATTTCTTATGGCCACTTTTTGGTCTTTATTCTCAGCAACTACTGAACCTATTGGCGTAAAAATAATTGAATTAAAAAAAAAAAAAAAAAAAAAAAAACTTAACAGCTTTGCGGAATGCCGATTTTCGGTTTTGCGTTTATTATTGTTTTACGGGGCCTCGAATTCTGAGAAAGAAAAAAACAAAAACAATTCTTTAAAGCTTCTACTTCCAAGCGTCCCAGAAATTAAATTAAAGAATAAATGCAAACTGCAGTACCGCGTTGTAGTGTAAAATGAATTTGTGAATCTATATCTGCTAATACATTTCCTCGGGTTATTGTCGTCACGAAATGAATTGAGGAAGTTTGCGCTTCATTGAAATAAAAAATTCGTCTGCTAAACACCATTTTTTTTTCAGCTCGCTGATCTCCATGTGGCAATGATGAGTGAGTCCGTGCAACGCTTTATTACTCCGCCGCGAGGTATTCACGGCGTGCGGTGGTGTGGTTCACTTATGTATATTCAAGATTCTATGACGTGCATTTTCTAGAGGTGTCTATTTCTGCTTCCTGTTACAGGTAGCGCGAGCTCTGGGGCGTCTACTGTTTCTACTCCAAGGCTGTGTTCTAAAATTTACTCGATCCGACTCCGGAGTATAGGCCTCCTGCATTGCCCAGGGGGCGCTGCGAAAGGAGACTCGTTAGGACTTGTTTTGGGTAGTACAAACTTGAGCGTCTCGAACTGTTACAGATGTGCAAGGTGTCACCAAAAAAAAAAAAAAAAAATTCCCGTTCTTTTTATCGCAAAAATAAACTAGGCATCGCCGAACGCTCATTCTCCGCCCAAGGGTAGCGCTAGAGGTCACAACCAGAGGCCAAAGTTTCAGCCCGATCCAATACCTTATTCAAAAGTTATAAGTAATTTTCTGAAAAGTTCAATGCGAAAATTTTTCGAAACTTTTCCGAATTTCGGAACTTTCGGAACTAGTCTGTTCTGAGGTTGGTAAAGCACTAAACACTTTATCAATCAACAGGCAGACGTTCGAAAAAGGCAGAGAATCGAGGTGCAGCCATTTATGTGTGGTTATTGCGATTTTCTCTTTTCAACGCACGAGTTAACTGTTAACCATATCCAGACCGTGCATCTTCCGAAGGAACGTATACCTGTTGTTATTAGAGTGCGATTGTAAACAGGAGCTACTCCACATCCTCGTCTTCGGCGTTGGAGTGAACTCCGTATTCTTACGTTCGCGGCTGAAGATGTTCGAACGCAGTAGATGATGTAGAAGTAATTTTTCCCCAGAGTGTGCGTAATGAGAGGATAACGCTTGTAAAGCAGTGAAGGGTTCGAAGATTTCATGTACATGATCAGCCAACAAGTCCACACCACCTCTCCCTCCTCAAGAAAATGCCTATAGCGGTTTGGAAGTTCCCTCTGTGATTTTGTAATCATAATCGCGTCAAGTACGTCGTGTGGAAGCGGACTCTAGATTTCTGCTAAACGTGACCGGTGCAAACTACGATGCGTGGAACGTATACGTTTAGGGGCACCTGGACTAGACTTGCAGCGATCGCGCTGATTAATAAACACAATTTTTTGTTTTGTGTCTAACTGAAAGGAGTAAGTAATTTTGATCTTAATATACAACCCAAAACGAAGGTGAGTAAGTGGAGCCGATGTAGCCACCTCCGAGAACACCGCGTCGTCGCTGTCAAAGAAAAACTTCGCAGCGGTTAATATTATCGTGCTTTCGAGTGATTTCTCCATGATCAAAAGCGATCGTCTGCTATCTTCCGCCATCGCTGCTGTTTTATTTTTGCCGTAGCCCAAGACGAAGCCCATCCGCGTAGTATCCAGGTGATAATCCCGGTTTTCAGGATCGAGTCACGGATTGTCTACTCGCGATGTCATCATGTCACGTGGTATTACCAGCGGACGTAGGAGGTTACTGGAGTAAGATTTCGAACATAGCCTATCTCTCTGCAGTGCTGGCAAAGGCACGGGTGCGAGCGTGTCAACTGGGAAAGTGTCTTCTATGCGCGAATTCTCTTGGAATTCTCGTACAAACAAAAGCAATCGGCAGAAGTAGGCTTACGCGCCTGTGCCCTGCCTTGTAGATGTCTAAATAATATTCTATGTCGTTCTCAGGACGTCCTAAGAATGTCCCTTAAAAAACATTCCCCGAATGTAGCGATAAGTGCCTACGCCACATTCTGACAACGTTGATAGAATGTTTTTACGTAAATTTGCAACATTCCAAGAATGTTGCCTGTGTTCTTTAGAACATTCCCAGAATGTTCTCAGGACGTTCTCTTGCTACGTGGGTAACTACACTCGCAGCACGCTCTTGGTGCTTGGGTAATTTAGCAAAAGGTTCACTTTATCAATTAATAAAGTTTACGGTGATGATGATATTCGCGAAAATTAAGTCGTTTACAGTAACTTGTTTTTCTTTTTATGCGAAGGCGAGGTCGAAGCTACAAGCACGAGCATGTTGCACTGAGTCCCTGAACGCGATACTTCCACTGCACGAGCTAGCGCGCGTGCTCCGCAAGGGCCCGGGCTTTCAGTGTCCCTTCCAAGCACGCGCGCTCGTGCAGTGCGAGCATCGTTCGGGGGAACATGTTTTTGCAAGTAGCTTCAGATTCGCTATCACGTAAAGTGAAACATACGGGCTCACGGAAGCTACGAAAGAACGCAATAAAATAATAAAGCTGAATGGGACGCTGAGGCCACGAGCTTCATTGTTCTTTTTTATTTGTTTTTCTGTTTTTAGACGTTTTGTTATCGCGCGTCTGCAGATGCTGACAGACGCTTGCATTCGAACGTG